AGACTGTTCTTTATTGTCTGTTTTAGAATAGCTTCCTGGTTTGTTGCAAAGTTCAAGGATGTGAATATTCCTTTAGACTCTCTTGTGGGAGATTTAAAACTTGCGGATTTGGTGGGAAGACAAGGAAATGGCATCTCTAAACCAATTTGCTGGGTTTCTCCTCCGGATGGGTTCTTAAAGATCAATGTTGATGGAGCGATGGTAAAGGGTTGGGATAAGGGAGGCATTGGTGGTTTGATTCGGGACAGTAAAGGTGTGTTGCTTCAATGGTTTTCAGAAAGAGTTGGGGGTGGTCCTTCTATCTTCGCAGAATTATTGGCGATTAAGAGGGGGTTATGTCTTCTGGAAGATTTAAGTTTTGTCCCTAATCGGAGGTTTATTCTTGAATCTGATTCAAGTAATGCCCTAAAGTGGATCAAGAATCCGGATTTATGCACTCCTATGTTTCAAGTACTGGTGAAGGAGATAGTCTCTCTTATGGCAGGGAAGGATATCATTATCAAGCATATTTTGAGGGCTGCAAATTGGGAAGCTGACAAATTAGCTAAGGATGGGATAGGGTGATGTAATGGTTTCTGTCTTCTTGTATTGAGGAGTAGATAATTTTATTTCCTATGTTTAGCTGTTGTGTTTAAGTTTTATGTAATTTCTGGTGGTGTTTGTAGATGTTTAGGGTCTGCCTTTGTTGTACTCTGTTTCATCTAATAAATTCTAGGCACTCTTTTCCTCCTTTCCTTGTCCTTCATGTTACTTTTATAACATGAAGGTTGAAAAAGGGGGGTTTTTAATGAGGCCTAATCTTCTATCAAAAAAAAAAGTGTGTTTTCCTTGGCTATTCCTTTTTTAAATGATGAAGGTATGACAACTTTGAATGACACAACTATTGCTCTTTTAATTGATTCTTCTGACTTACCTATTGCTCAAAGGAAAGGTGTCAGGAATTGTACTCAACACCCAATTTAGAAATATGTGGCATATGATAGGCTTATGTCGACATTCAAGGCCTTTACAGTCAAGGTTGATACTTGCTTCATTCCTAAAACTATTGATGAGTCCTTAAAGGACTCTAGGTGGAGAAAGGTTATTGAAGAAGATTAAGGCATTCGAGGCAAACAAGACTTGGATTATGATTGATTTACCTTCCGGGAAAAAAGTTGTAAGTTTCAAGTGAATATCACAATTAAATATAATGCGAATGGAAGTATTGAACGATTCAAGGCTAGGTTGGTGACAAGAGGGTTCACTCAGTCTTACGGGATTGATTATCAATAAACTTTTGCCCTAGTTGCAAATCTCAACACCATTCGCATATTGTTGTCTCTTGCTGCATATTTAGACTGACCACTTCATCAGCTCGATGTTAAAAACGCTTTCCTCAATGGTACTTTGGAGGAGGAAGTGTATATGCAGAAACCACCTGGCTTATATTCGACTTCTAATTCGGGACAAGTTTGCAAACTTCTAAAGTCTTTATACGGCCTTAAGTAGTCGCCACGTACTTAGTTTGAGAGGTTTACCAAAGTTGTTTTACACTTCGACTTTCGTTAGTGCCAGGCTGATCACACTCGGTTTGTTAAAACAACTTTCGGGAACAAGAAGGTTATTCTAATAGTCTATGTTGATATAATCATCACTGGTGATGATTCTTCTGAAATTTCGAGGTTGAAGAATTTCTTAGCAAAGGAATTTGAAACTAAGGACCTTGGTTCCTTAAGGTATTTCCTGGGTATAGAAGTGGCTAGAACAAGTAGTGGCATTGTAATAAATCAAAGAAAGTATGTTTTGGATTTGTTATCTGAAACTGATATGATGGGCTGCAAGCCTACTCAGACATACATGGTGTACAACCTAAAGTCCAGAACTGATGGTGGTGGTTCTCCAATCGACAAGGGACACTATCAGAGATTAGTAGGCAAGCTCATTTATCTATCTCTTACAAGGTCGGATATTGCTTTCTCGGTGAGCATCGTAAGCCAATTTCTGAGTGATCCTAAAAAGGAACATCTAGAGACAGTAATCAGGATCTTAAAATACTTGAAAATGACCCCTGGTCATGGAATGCTTTTTTGCGAAAAACTCAAGCAGAAAGGTTGAAGTCTTCATAGATGCAAGTTGAGCTAGTGAACTCAAATCCAGGAGGTCAACAACAAGGTATTGTGCTCGTGTCTGGGGAAACTTAGTGACATGGAGAAGTAAAAAAACAGAATGTGGTCTCAAGGAGCAGTGTAGAAACTTGAGTTTCGAGCCTTGACTCAAGGGCTTTGTGAAGGAATTTGGATACAACGATTGTTAGTAGAATTGCAGTTGAATCATGACACTAGCTTTAACCTCAATTGTGATAATCATCGACAATCAATATTGCAAAGAATCTGGTGCATCATGATAGGACGAAGCATATGGAGATAGATCGCGATTTCATTTCAGAGAAGGTTACAAATGGGACTATCAAACTTAACTAGATTTCTACTCACCAACAGCTAGTTGATATACTCACCAAGGCACTTCCAAGAACCACCTTTGATGAGCTTACATCTAAGCTGGGGCTCTACAATGTATACTCCCCAGCTTGAGGGGGAGTGTTGGTTATTGATTATGTCAGTTAAAAATCACCAAGTATTAAGTTGTTAGGTTAAGTTTTTAAATTTTAAATTTGAATTAGTTTGTTAGATTTTTTGTTGCAGATTTCTACAAGTAAGAGCAGATTTTACTTTATAAATGAAGTGAGAAGAAAATAAAAATTCAAAAGAGTTTAGTTTCTCTAAAACTCACACAAGTATCTATAGTTTATTTTATATTTACACAATCACACTTAACAAAAAACCAACTGCAAATACATATTGTGTCTTTTTTTACTACAAAAAAGAACACATTTCTTTGGTACGTTCTTTCTAATAACAAGTGGTGAAAAGTTTCAGAGTTTGGTTGTCTACTGAGCAATAGATGGGTCTGGAACATTAGAACGAGAAGGAATTTATGTGATTGGGAACTAGATTACTGGATTCAATTAATGTCATTATTGGAGAATGTTGTTCTGACTGATTCGGTGGATGATTTTTTGTCTTGGTCGGGGAAGGGAGATGGGCTGTTCACCGCTAAAGCATGTAGGTTGACTCTTTCTACCAATTCAGGGGGTATGATTAATTGGAAAAGGTTCATTTGGTCAGGATTGGCTCCTCCAAGAGTCGAAACTTTTCTGTGGCAGGTCTCACATCAAAGATTGGCGGTTAGAACGGAGTTGATAAGAAGGGGTGTTACATTGGAGATGGTCACTTGTCCGTTTTGTTCAAAGCATCTGTTCATCTCGTGCTCGGTTGCAGGGGACCTATGGAGCAGTTTTTGAGGTTATGGGAAATCTCGTCAGTCTTGCCTAAAGATCCACTCTCTTTGATGTGTTCTTGGTATGACATGAGGCCAAAATCTCAAATATGGAGTTTTATACCGGGAGTTGTTCTATGGTCATTATGGAAGGCTAGAAACTCGGTGGTCTTTGATAATTGGAAACTGGACAGTTCTACTCTTTTCTTTATTTGCAGATTTAGATTAGCTAAATGGTTTCTGGCTAAGCACCCGAATGTCATTATTCAGGTAGACTCCCTTGTGGGGGACCCTACTCTTGCAGACAAGCATCAAACTAAGGTCCTCAAAAGGATGAAGGTTCAGGGTTGGCTTCCTCCACCACTACATTTTTTTAAAGTTAATGTTGATGGGGCAGTCAGTAGGGACGGGCTGCTGGGGGAATTGGAGGCATTTTAAGAGATTCGAGAAGTTAAATTATAGGGTCTTTCTCGAATGTTGTTGGTCCAGGTCCACCTCCACTCGCGGAACTGAAAGCCATTTAGAAAGGCATTGATTTCTTTCTCTCGTCGGAGTGGGCGATGAAGGGAAGGTTAATAATTGAGAGTGATTGTAAATCAGCAGTGGATTGGATTTTGCTGCCGACTACATCTCCTCAATTTTTTAGTTCGATGATTGAGAAAATTGTTTCCCTAGTCTCGGAAAGGGAGATTATTGTTAGACACGTACCAAGGAGCTGCAATTGTGAGGCTGATACTCTGACTAAAAAGGGGATTGATGATTAATTTTGTTACTTTAGAGGTTGTTCAGTAGGTTTGTGGTGGCCTATTGAGGGTTTGGGGATGAGATAGTTTTGTTGTTTAAGGATGGTCAGGTCGTTTTGGTGTTTTTGATTTTTTGTTCTGTAATAGTTAAGGTACTGTTAAGTATGTCTTCTGGTTGTATCTTATGTACTTTGCCTATGATTAATAAAATACTAAGGCACTCTTTTCCTCCTTCCTCTGATTAAGGAGCTTTCCTAAAAGCTCCATTAATCAAGAAGGGGGTTTTTAATGAGGCCTGAAATTCTTATAAAAAAAACAACACCAATCCATTGTTTTCAAAATGCTAAGATGCTTGAATAAACAACTTAGTATAAGAAGGTCTATGCCTAACTTCCTTACCCCATCACTAAAGAAACTTCACATCAGAAAAAAAAGGATAAAGGAGGTTTTCAAATGAATTCTTGATAGTCCATCTTATATCCATGCATTATTGGTAGATAGCTGTTAACCTTGGAGGTTTAGAGAAAAGTAAATGGTTTAAAATTTCGCTACTCAATTTGGTAAGAAGGGACCATCATTTGGTAAGATGGTAAATGCATTAGATTCACAAGCATCCCAAAATAAAAATATACCAGCTTGTCTTTGAAAATGGCCACTCTTAAGCAAATCCAGTGGGCGCTAAAAATATTTCCAATGAATCCAACCTACTACTTAGGATCCTGCCTTTTTGCAAGATCATAACTGGTTAATAACCTTTTATTGGAGGAGGGGGTAATCAAATATTTATATATATATAAAGATTGTTTCTGATACAGGTAACTTAATATGAATAATAATTTCAGCTAGAGCTAATGACAAAAGATTATCAATGGTGCAATTTACGAAGTTTTTATTTTTCACACCCATATGAGTACAAATAACACCGGTGCCCATAAGCAATACCTGCTAGTTTTAAAACTTTCAAAACCATAAATGTCAAGGACTCCAATGAGACACTTTGAGTCAGTATCTTGCCCAATGGAAACGTTTATTTTCTTAACCAGCCTGGATATAACACAAATGAGCCATTGATAAGAAATCCATCCAGTTTAAAATGAGTTACAGAACTGCATAAATGCTTCAGAAGTCAGCATCTTACCAATCAAACAAACGTGAATATAATGTCTTTGCTAAACCATCCCTGCTAACTGCTGCACCATGTGGATCGAGGCTTTTTTTGATAACTTCTTCTGGGGTAACCACATTTCGCTTACATAGTGCAGATTCCAATGCTTCAAGATCACACCTGTAATGAGGATCAGTGGATCTGCAAATACAGAGGCACGGAAAGGAAAGGAAACATCAAGCCAAGAGAGAACCTATGATATAGCCATACATGAGTAGGTCTGCTGTCATTTGAAGATGAAATTTGGCTTTGTCGTCCTCTAACACGGATGAATCTTCTTCTTCTTCCTTAGCAAATGCAATATTGCCAAGATGAAGAATTGCAGCTACAATTCTGAAAATTGCTTCCTGATAAAGAGAAAGAGATATTATTCCCAGTCCGGCTACATAATGTACACAAGCAGCTAAATACATCAGAGGTATATAGCAGGCAGGAGACCTGTTCGCTCTCAGTCATCCCAACAATATCCATAGCTTTCTTGGTTTTAAGATAATCTTGGGCATCATCTACACCAACCAGTTGATAACAACTAGATTGGTTAAGGTAATGAAACGTCGTAGGATCTCCCAACTTATACCTCTCAATCTCCTGACAAGACTTAAAAAACTGGTCAGATGGAATGCTATGATAAAGATTCATGAAAATCATTAAAGGGCTATGCAATAAATAATGTAGAATCAGGGTAAATATAAACCTCCGGTGGAGCAGCGCAAAGAAGATAAAAACAGTGGTAGTTCCTTTCAGGATCTGAAATTTGGCAAACACGAGATTTTTCTAGGAGATAGGTTCTAATGGCTGCCCCTGATATTTGTCCACGTCTATCAAATTGAATCTCAACAAATTTTCCAAAACGACTGTGACAACAGAATGAAGAGAATGTCAGAAACTACACAAATGACATGACTGAAAAAGTGATCATTGAAATTTGAACTATCACAAATTGCTCTTATCAGAAGAAACAATTTTCACTTAAGGAGAGGAGAGCTAATTTTTTTTAAGGTTGACTCTCTAAAGAAGCACTAGGCTTTGTAAAGAACTTCAAATGTAGTGATTTAAACAAGATGATACTACAGAAGTAAATCCATTTTAACAATCTTTTTACTTTTAGCAGCTTGAACCAAAAAGGATAACAAAATTAAAACTGTAACGGAACAAATGAATAATTATGTACAAGTAGCATTAGATGAAATTAGGAAGTTAGTCTTTGGCAGAAACCAATAAAAGGAACTTAAAAGTTTAGGTAGAAAGACCACCCAAATTACTAGAAACTCTTCAAACGAGACAATTTTCTCACCTTGAATTGTTATTCCTGACAGTTTTTGCATTTCCAAATGCTTCAAGAACAGGGTTTGACTGCATCGAGACATTTAGTGCATAACATTCAGAACTAGATAAAATTACATATTAAAAAGAACAAGGAACTCTTATCTATAATAATTTCAAATTTTAATTATATGAAGGGAAAGGAACATTTAAGGTCTCTTGATTTGTCTAAAAACAAAATTTTGAATGAAAAATGATTACATGCAAGTTAAATTTCCTCATACTTTTTGGCATCTGACTCCATTTGCAGGTAGTTTGTTACATATCCAGAATGTGTCAATTGTAAAAACAGATTTTCATAGAAATTAGAAGAACAGGCAAAGATGTAACAAAACAAATTTGAAAACAGTAAATTTGTCGCAAAATGAATAATTTTCAAGATCTATGCAGTTACCCATCTGATTTCAAGAAAGTGACCATATTTTATGCTGCTGCATTTGATTTGGATTCTATATTGTTTGTCAACCATGTCATAATGTACTGTCTCCAGAGCAACTGTTCAAACACTTTCTTTTTCTATAATTTTAGTGACTTGCAAACTACTGCTAAATTCCAACATCAGCCCCCTTATTTCACATTCTCTCCTCTCTCCTCTCTCCTCTCTGAGCAGTTAGGTTTCTCCACTAAAGTGCAAGATTTTTCCTGTGATGGTAAACCTGCCATTATATGCTAGCATCTTAAGGATGACACGTGAGTTAAAATTTTAAGGAAATATACCCTTTTTCCACTTCTAGTCCTTATCCTAGATATAATCTTTTATTTGTCTTTTTGGATAAACTTAGAAGAGGAAATCAAAGGATATTAAGCATTTGATGAAATTGGAGAAATTGTCACAACTTTTGATAGATTGACATTTTCCATCATCCAATGAGTACATCTCCTATGTTTAAAAAGGTTGTAATGAGATAGATGTGTCTTACAAATTAAAGCGCAAAGCATATGAGACAAAAATATTTACTAATGTATTAACACTAGTGCTTTTATGCGTAGCTAAGTCTACTACTCTTGGATAACAGCACACTATAATATAGTCATTGCACTCCATAACTATGATCTGCATTAACACCTCCTAAAGAACACACGAGAGAACTATGGTGTATTGTTGCCTTAATTAATTACATAATGACAACTCCAAAACTTTTTAGTCCTCAAATTGTGTGCTTCAAGCATTTACTTGACTCTAAGCCAAAGATAAAGATTGAAATATTAGCTTACTTCAGTTCAGAATAGAGTTAGATCATCCAGCTTACTTCTAGAACTTTTCGTTCAACTGTCTGTCCTTCCGCACTAGTATGGCCACCCAAATATGCAAGATAGCGCATAATCAATTTGGTGGTTTCGGTCTTACCTGCTCCACTTTCACCACTGACCAATATAGAATTGGATTTGCATTCGTTAATCATCGCCCTGATTGAAAGTTAAACAATATAGAATGAACCAGCTCCATGATCTGCAGACAATACACAGATGAAATATAGAACCGCTTAGTTACCTATATGCAACATCAGTAATAGCAAAAACATGAGGTTTCAGGTCCCCTAGTTGAGCCCCTTTATAACTGTCCATCAATTTTTGATCATACAAATGTGAGAGAGCTTGGAATGGATTGATAGCAATGAGAATATTCCCGCAGTATGTCTGCAACGAGGTATAAAGTATCATCAATACAATTCATAACAGCAGTACTAAATGGTTCAAAACCAAAAAATGAGACCGAACATACATAAATCTCTTGGATTCCGTATCTTATGGCCAAATTGTAAAGCACAGCAGGCTCGTGCAAGTATGATAGCTTAGTCATGTCATCAACACCCCCAGCGGGAGCTTCCATATCCCTGGGATGCAATTTAGATAACTTTGTAGTAACCTGCCCAACATTATGGTGAAGGAATTGAAGGATTGGGTTATTAAAATCAGTTGCAATTGACAATAACTAAGGCTGAACCAGAATGTAATAAATAAATAAATATATTGCTTACCTTCTTCTCATTTCTAATCTCAACCTCAACTTCATTTCCATTAACACTAGTTACAACCCCATCAGTCCAAGCCAATTCTGGGACTTCGACCCATACAGGGGAACCTACACCAATTTCCTGTGGCATCCGCAGCAGCAGTTGAAGTTTGTTTTTTTTCTTTTTAAAAATAAAAGAGTAAAATTATACATTTATGTATCCGTTGATAAGTTTACATATTTCAACCTACCATTCCGTTCGGTGAATGTAAAATTCCTTAGAAAAGAATAAAATCAAATGAATCCCATCATTTTGGAGAAGGGTTCTGACCAAAATGCCGATGTTTTTTCCCCGGTGAAGGAAGAGCAGGTTGTTGTTTGGATGGGGATCGGTATGAGAAAAACGCAATAATCGGTGCACCCATGGATTTCGCCATTTTCTAGGAGCCTCGTGTGGTTCTTTTTTATTTTATTTTATTTTAATTTTTTCCTTTGTTACGTTTTCTCCGGAGATACTCAATAGTCCCTTCTTATTTGCATTTTACTTTCTTTTTCTTTTAAACAAAATAGACCTAATTTAATTTTATTTCTATAATTAAAATTTCATAGTTATGGTTTGGAGAAATAACATAAGAACATAAAATTCATTAACAATTATTTTATATTTTAATATATTTTAATTTTAGGGTAAAGTATATAAATAGTCCCTGAGCTTTTAAAGAGCTTGCATTTTGGTCACTCAATTTTTGAAATTTACAATACAGTCATCAAACTTTTAGTTCGTTTTCATTTCTGTCCCTACCATTACCTCCGTTTGTTTTTGCCGACGTAACACTTAACTGCCCTTAAACTTCCCCTTCTTCTTCAGTGATTCTTCTTCTTCCCCCTTCCTATTCACCCCACCTCCGATTAACGGTGGCTCACACCACTGCCATCATCACCGACATCGCCTCCCGATCACACCGTGACCCTCGAATCATACTCACCGTCCATCGACAAGTTCTGCCCCGATTTCGGAAGAGGGTGGAAGTAAAGCCAGATCCAATGGCGTCCTTCTCAATGGATGGCCTTCTCGTTGGATATCGAACTCATACGAAGCAATGCCGGAGAAAACTCGAGCCGATTGATAAATCGGAGGCGGATGAATTGAATCGGAGCTAGTAACAAAAGAAGTTCCACTCTTCAACGAAGAAGAAGAACGACCAGAATCAGGGACAAAAGTTCTACCTCGGAATGTAAAATTTCTTGAAGAACCAGAAGCAATCAAATAATTATCAGCTGGAGTAAACGAGGCCTCAATTCTAAAACCCCAAAACGAAAGCAAAATAGCAGCTAAAACAAAATACATCAAACTCCATGGCGCTACTTCTCCATCTTTAAACACTAATCCCAATTCAAAAACACATGAACTTTACTCTCAAAATTCAAAGCTTCATCAATGGCCATAACAGGATAAGACAGAACACGGCTTGAAATGAAAGATTGCCCATATCGACTCAAAACCAGAACAGAGAAGGGAATGCCCAAAAACGACATGGAAGAACTTTAACAACATAAACAGCCTAGAAAAAAATCAAGTCGAGGAAGACAATTACACAAGCACACGCAAAGACCCACTCCGATTATGATAGTCAAAAGAGAACCGAATCTGCTTAACAAATGAAAGGCAAGGATGCAACTAGGATATTTAAAATGGCCAATAACACAAAATCGTTAGCACTAAGCAACTAACAACCCAAAGCATCAACCAAATTCATGAACCCAGGAAATCGGTCAACCTATGATCCAACACACAAGATAGACTAATCTGCAAACAAAAGAAACCCAAAAATCCATAAATCGCCGAACCTTGATTCGCTTGAGTTGTGGCCGAATGAGTGAAGGAACGAAACATGGTTTAGTAGAGTCGAACTTACCGAGTCGACAGAGAAAGAGGGCTTTCGAGAGATCTCCAAAGGGGTTGGAGAATAAGAGTACAGTACAGATGCCTTTTCATTTGAAGAAAAGAAAGAAGAAATAAGAAGGGGGAGTTAAAAAAATAACGGTAGGTAACGGGGGATCAAAATGAAAACGAACTAAAATTCAATGATTGTATTGTCAATTTTAAAAATTAAGTGACCAAAATACAAGTATTTTAAAATTTGGGAAACTATTTATATACTGTACCTTTAATTTTATTATGTAAATCCAAACAAAATACAGAATTCGACTTGATAGTTTGGTGTCGAATATTTTATTTTCTAATATTTAATCCAAAATTTTAATTCTTTTAATAACATTTTAAATAAATTATCTATTTAATCACCTATTTATTTTTATGTTTATATTTCAATCACTCAAATATTTTTTTAAATTATACATAATTTTACATTTCATTTATATTTTGATCACCCTTCAATTTGACTGTTGATTTGATGAAAATTGTGATGTAACTTGATATAATAATAATTTTAATTTTTAGAACTTACATATTCTATCAAATTAATCACAATTCATAATAATTTATTAACATTTAGGCTTAATATATAAAATAAGTGTTCAAACTATATCGTTTTTTCATGAATAAGTGCATAAAGTATTTTTTAACTCATCACAGTGTTTAACGTTGCAAACATTATTATTTTAGGTGTTCGGGCCGTCTACAATATTAATTTACTTTGTTAAGTGACATGTGTTATAATTTGATAATTTTAAAATTTTATTTTAAAAAATTTAAAATATTTTATTTTGAAAAAGCCCTAGTTTTTTTCTTTAAAATACCAAAAAACCTCAAACTCTTAAAATATCTTATTATAATCTCATTTACTCCCCATCCTTCATCTTTAATCACTCATATGTCGTCGACCACTCAATGAACGGCCACAACCCTTACTATTATCTTAAAACCCAAAATTCTCAAATCTCAAAATTTTAATCTATAATCCCTAAAATTCAAATATCCCTTAATTTCCTTTGCTCAATTTTGATAATCAATCGTTTAACCAACAGTGACGGCCGACCCTTTGATCAATCATTTGGCCATGAAAACGCCATAGATGCAGGGGAGGAAAAATAAAATTTTTCAAAATTCCAAGACTATAACACGTGTCACTTAATGGAGTAAATTAACGTCGTTGACGGTATAAGTACCTAAAATGGTAATATTTGTGACATTAGGCATTGAGATGAATAAAAAAATATTTTAGTCACCTTTTGATGAAAAACGGTATAGTTTAGACACTTATTTTATATTCAAACCTTATAATTATTAATACTTCATTTTAAATGGACGAAAATGCATCAGATGTCTCCGTACTTTTGAAAATTATGAAAAGACGATAAAATTTTGAATTACTTGTATAAAATTAAAATATATACCACCATAAAATGAATACGATAACACATTAACGCGTCGAAAATACAAACAACTTACATAACATAACAAAATTTATATAAATACACCATCATTTACATGTGAACTTTGATAACATGGCAAAAACAAATTAATTCACCATTATTATGAAAAAGAAGGCAGCTTACTCACAGTAACTTGTGCCCAATACATCTATAGCAAGCCCCAAATGCAATATTTATTTCAAAAATAATATTTAAAAAACATCACATAAATATAAATAAAAAAAGCTAAAGCGTAATATATATATATATAGAGGGGTAAGCTCCAATTACATTACGTAAAACTCTTTTAATTTTACACGTTTTCAAAATCATTGAATAAGAGAAATTAAATACTGAGATTGATAATAGAAAATAAAAAGATATTCACTAGGGGAAATAATGAGCTAATCTCATCCTTTGATTTCCAGCAATCTAATAGTTCTAAAAAAGTTGTGCATAATATAAGTAGATTCTAATTCATATATGTCGGAACCGTCTTTCGGATGGGCCCGGAATTGGGCTTCGACGTGAATGAATTGGGTTAGAGTCGCCACCGACCATTTTCTGATAAAAATAAAAATTTAATACTTAAATATATATATATATATATATATATATATATCTGATAAAAATAAAAATTTAATACTTAAATAAATAAAATAAAAGAGAGAGAAAAAATTGAACCATAAATTAAAAGTGAGGAACTGAATTGAAATAAAATCAGCTTTGAAGATCAATCCAAGAAGAATTCAAAGTTAATTTAAATCAAACGGACCAAGATGGAATAATTACAAAATGGAGGTCCAAACTGTAATTCCCCAAAGTTTTAAAAACGCGGGCGTACGGAGGGCTAAACGGCGTCGTTTCACTTTTGTTATTTAAGACATGCTTTTCTCATCCCACCTTCCCTCATTTGCACATAACCCTTCTCTCACTAAAAGGAGAGAACGAACGTTCTCTCTAGCCTCTCTCTACAACCCTCATCGAAGGGACGCCGACCGCCGGCGGTGACCGAAAAAATTACTGTCAAAACACTCGTCTCAACGTCCTCAACCCAAATCCGAAACCCAAACACCCAAAAGATACCTCCTCTGGCGTAGATCTACATAAAAGACTTCGGTTTTTTACCTTTTTTTACGAGACCGTTCCACTTCTAGCGTCCTTATTGCTTTGGTGGTCTTTTTTTGTTGCTTTGTGTCGGTTTTGTTGTGTGTATGAGTTGGGTTTGGTTGGTTTTGTGTTTGGTTGCTCTGTTGTATTTTTTGGGGTTCGGTAATGGTAAAGTTGTTGGCTCACTGTTGTGGTATTTTTGTTAGTCGTGGCTCTGGATCGTGGCTCTAGTACTATGTTTATGGTTTCGTGTTGATGCGATGGTATTTTGTTTTTGGTTCCTTGGTTTACTGTGGTTTCGTTCGGTTCTGTGTGGTGATCCCTCCCTGGCAGTGGTTGGTGGGGGTATTTATACCCCCCACCGGTGGTCGTTCCGACGATCATGGTAACACGCTCGTGGTTGGTTGGCCGGGGATTTCGGGATGGGTCAGTCCCAATCCCCTCAGCCGAAAATCTCGGTGACCGGTGCGTGGTCTCTTGACTGTTGTTGGTGGCGTACTTGCTTCTGGAACATTTGACTTGATCTTGACCGTTGGATTGGGTCAGATCTAACGGTCCAGGTCTAACCGCAGCGTGATGATTTTTTTAGGGTTAATTAAACCCTAAATGCCTTACATTGTTGAACGTTGATCCCATCTCGATCTGACAGTTGTGGGATATACAGCGCTGGGACTAATGCTGAAAAACCCTAACTTCCATTTGGACCTCCCACCGAGCCTGCTTGCTGGGCGGGCTAGGCTTGGTTGGGCTTTAACCCGAACCTTGACTTTGGACCTGACAAAAGTATAAATAATAATAAGAAATAAAATAAATAAAAATAATAATAATAATTATATATATAAATATTTTCAAAAAATATGTAATATATAAATTTCTAAACATTTTTAGAAACTATATATTATACATATTTTCAAAAGCATTTTAAAAACTATATGATATATATATATATATTTTCAAAAATATTTTAAAAACTAAATATTATATATTTTTAAAATGTTTTTTTAAAAACTATATAATATAAATATTTTCAAAAATGTTTTAAAAACTATATATTATATATATTTTCAAAAAATGTTTTTAAAAACTATATAACATATAAATGTTTTCAAAAATGTTTTCAAAACTATATATTATATAAGTTTTCAAAATGATTTTAAAAACTATATATTATATACTTTCTAAAATGTTTTAAAAACTATATACTATATAGTTTTCAAAAATATTTTAAAAACTATATATTATATGCATTTCCAAAATATTTTTGAAAACTATATATATTATACATGTTTTCAAAAATCGTTTGCAAATTATAATATATATATATATATATATATATATATATATATATATTAAAAAGAATGGACGAAAATTAGTGTCTACAATATATATACACACAAATAAAATACTTAATCTTATAAGAAAATAATATGTACCTAAAACTATTATTATTAATTGTAAAACTTGATATAGTAATAGTAACAATAATAATTAAAATAATAAAATCTAATGTGTGAAATAATAATAATAATTCTTATTATTATAAAAAAAATAAAGAGTGCAATTACTTACACCTCTCCTCTCTGGTAGAAATTAAAGAGTGCAATGAGAGACTTCTAATTACATCCAAATTAATAATACCTATAAATTATAATAATTATTCAAACACATTCAGATGTATAATAACATCTAAATACATGTAACTTTAATTATATAATAAATTTTTAAATATAAAAATACTTAATTATTTGAATAATAAAATTACTAATAAAAATAAACATCTTATATAACTTTATCTACTTGTTCTACCGTTCTAAATCGATTAAATTATTCGATTTCAAACATTAAACGTATACTCCTCACCGTATGTTGTCCCTAATCAAACTCTTCCTCATCTAAATCAAAATCAAAACCTATATTATAATAATATCTTATTCTTACATTTAATTTTTTAAGTAGCGTTATAAATATACACGAATATTGACGTAAATATTTATATTATTATTACAGTAAACTAATGTGTTTTATATGCATTTATTTAAAATAAATTGATGTTATAATAAAAATATACTGTTTGAATTCAAACATTAAATTTTCAAACATATATATTTTACGTAGAAAAAAAGGTTCATCGAGCATTTATTTAAATAGATTAATAATGTTATGGTTGATTGACTCAAAGTACACCGGTGAAAGTAACTATTATTGATTGGTTGAACTCAAAGGTATTTTATTTAAATTGTTTCTTAGACGTGTGTTATATATGTATTTAATATTTTATTATTGCGTAAGCTACATGTTTAGCGCTGCAATTATCAAATTTTTACTGTTTTGATCATCCAACTATTTTTGTTTAAAAATAACATCTAATATTATGTTTTGGTTTCATTTGGTCACCTATTAATAGAAAAATTAACAATATGATATTTTAAATTTTTTCTCAATAATGATATGTCATTATCTTATGGTGCACATCAGCACTATTATTAATTTTTTAACGGTAGGTGACCGAAATGAAACCAACACATAATGTTAGGTATGATTTTGAAACAAAAAAGTAGTTGGGTGACCAAAAAGAATAAAAGTGATAGTTGGAGTATTAAACATGTATTTTTCCTTCATTATTTAAAAAATTACTATTTTTACTTAATATAAAATGAAAAGTTGCTGCGTCCATTTCGTCACCCCTTACCATTATCCTGCAAATATATAATAGAGAAATATACAGTAGTGGAAGAAGAACGCTCATTGCCCAGTTGATACTTATCTTCTTACCCAGTTATAATACACAAACCAGCTCCTCTTTAACTAGGTTTATAACAATGTTTATCCAGCTGCTAACCTTACCTATCATCTTCTTCCTCACCATCCCACTTTTCTTCTTCATTCTCAACAAAAACTCAAAATCCCAGAAATCCGATGTTTTGCCCAAGCGTTACCCAATCATCGGTTCCTATTTTGCGGTAAAATCCAATCTAAGCAACCGCGTCCAATGGATCACACAAATCCTCCAGAACTGCCCCTCAGCAACTTACACACTCCACCTCGTCTTCGGTTACCGCTGGATCTTAACTGCCAACCCCGACAATGTCCACCATATTCTCAAGACCAATTTCAATAACTACCCCAAAGGCTATTTCTTCATTAGCGTTTTCTTTGATTTTCTAGGAAATGGTATCTTTAATGCCGACGGGGAGTCCTGGAAGTTCGAGAGGCAACTTTCGAGTCACGAGTTCAACACTAAATCTCTTCGTAAATTTGTTGAAACCGTCGTTGATACCGAGCTTCACGACCGTTTGGTTCCGGTGCTCTCCGACGCCGCTTCCGACGAGACGGTGCTTGACTTGCAAGATGTTCTTCAGAGGTTTGCTTTTGACAACGTCTGCAAGATCGCCTTCGGACATGACCCTGCCTGTTTGTTACCTTGTTTGCCGCAAACCCAGTTTGCTGACGCGTTTGAAGAAGCTACCCAGCTGAGTTCCGGCAGGTTCCGAGATCCTCTTTCGGCACCTTGGAGAATCAAGCGATTTTTCAATATCGGATCGGAGAGGAAACTCAAAATGGCTATCGCTCAGGTCCGTGATTTCGCGAAGAAGATTGTCAGGGAAAAGAAGCAAGAATTAGCTGATAAATCGTCTTTGAAATCGGTTGATCTCTTATCAAGGTTCTTAAGCTCCGGTCATTCTGACGAGAATTTCGTTACGGATATAGTCATCAGCTTCATACTCGCCGGCCGCGACACAACGTCGGCGGCTTTGACGTGGTTTTTCTGGTTAATATACGAACACCCTGAAGTGGAGAAAGAAATCCTCAAAGAAATCAAAGAGAAATCGGATACGCCAGTGTATGAGGAAGTTAAAGACATGGTTTACGTTCATGCTTCGCTTTGCGAGTCCATGAGACTGTATCCTCCGGTACCCACGGATGGAAAACTGGCGGTGGAGGACGCTGTTCTGCCGGACGGGACAGAGGTGAAGAGAGGAAATATGGTGACGTACGCTCCTTACGCGATGGGGAGGATGGAGAAGATATGGGGTACCGATTGGGCGGAGTTCAAACCGGAGAGATGGTTGGAAAGAGATGAGGCGGGGAAGTGGAGCTTCGTCGGGAGAGATCCTTACACTTATCCGGTGTTCAACGCCGGACCCAGGATTTGTTTGGGGAAGGAGATGGCGTTCTTGCAGATGAAAAGGTTGGTGGCGGGTGTTCTAAGGCGGTTCAAGTTGGTGCCGGCAGTGGAGCAAGGGTTTCAGCCGGTGTTTGTTGCTCATCTTACGGCTAAGATGAAAGGCGGGTTCCCCATCAGAGTTGAGGAAAGGGAAGAGTTCGATTAGCCAACTACAATTGCTTCTTCTTGGACTTTTTTTGTTTGTTCAATCTGCTGGACTGGACATGCGAATGAAATTTACCATATGATGTTTGTTTGGTTGTTTTAATGGGCCTTAAATTTAGAATGAACTGCACTTGCAGTTGTGTTAACTGGTCCAATATTTTTTAAATAAAGGTCTCTTTATTAGTTCTTCCCAAAGGACAAAAAATCTATGAATAAGTTACTCTGGGGATATGAAGAATAGTTATTTTATAACATTCTTTTAATTTCTCTAACGTTTTTCATTATTAAAAAAAATAAATTATTCACACTATTCTGCCATATAATATTAATGTGAAAACTGCCTTAACATACATAACTAACTAAACTTATTTTCTAAATAAAATCAATTTTGAAATCTTGAGTTGAGTTAGAAATGTATTTGAGCAACTTTTCCAAGAGAATTATTCAGTGAGTTGAGATAAATTATCCATAATATAAGTTTAGTCATTTATTTTGATAAAATTTAAAATTTATATAAGAATTAAATAATTTAAAATATAAATTATATATCCTACATATGATATTATTACATTTTTTTCAAAAGAATGGATGCCATAATGTGATAGAATCTAATGTATCTTATATAGAATTTAACTCTAAGTACCTACTCTACCTAACTCCCTATAATTTCATCCCAACCATTCCCTTCTTCTCCAACAACATAAAAAGCATATACATACATATTTGCAAGTTAAAGATATTAAAATTGATCTAAAGAGATGAAATATTAAAGTTTTTTAAATAATATTTACGAAATTCGGTTGATAGAGTTATATTTATAATATAATTTTTAATATGGCAAGCGATGCCTTGTGATTGTGTGCTTAGTTCATACGAAACAGTAATTATAATAATATGCTAACACAATAGGATGATAAAAAAAATGCCATCGCACATAATATGTATATATATATATATATATATATTGCCAGTCATGTGATATTGGCGAAGTGGCCTTACATTATTGCATGGAAAAAATGGCATCACACATCAGCAGCAAAGATCGAATGGTGTGCTTCGGTAGTTGTCAGTTCTCCAATACCTATCTCTCAATTCCTATTCAAACCCAATAAAGGAAGCACTTAGGTTCCGGTTTGTTCAACCCAACATAGAATCTAAAGACCTTATATTTACTACAAACAAACCGTTTCATATATACTGTCTTCATCTCATTTTCTTACAACCTTCAACTACTGCTGCGTCTGCATGTTCATCACAAATTGCACAACATGCCGGCAAGTGACAACCACCGGCAGATCTGACCCACCACCGAATTATGAGCTTCACGTGTAAACCAGACTCACATGGAAAATTTATGGGGTTTCGTTTAGTTTTCATATGAAATTTGACCCACCATGAGTTATTATATCTGCCCCACCCGGGAGATATATAGCTCATGCCTCATGGAATCCGGTAAATAACTATCCGTAAGGCCAAAAAGGAAAAGAAAGCGGTAAATATAAAGTTTCACTTTTACTCCCTTTCTCCATCACGCACAAAGTTGTATAGTAACTTTTATAATCCCAAAAACATATTAAAAGAAAGAAGCAAGAAAGATGGATGAAGACCGGACTTTTGCAGTCAATGTTCACATTGAGACAACTATTGCCTATTGGAGGAGAAAAGAAAGAACCATGAAAATCAGGGTTTTGAAAACTCTACCTTTAAATCTAGTTCCAGCTTCTCCAATTCTGGCTTCTCTTGATTCCATATCTACTCTCTTTGCATGAAAATAGAACCAAGTTGGGGGGAACGAAGCCTGGTCCGAAATCGTTCAAAAGACATGTAAGACCCACATGAATGACTTCGAACCAGACAACATTCTCCGCAACACTTCATGTTAGAAATCCGCAAGAGGAAGACGAAGAAATCGGAGGGTTGAGAATCAGAGGAGGGAGAGTGAGAGATGACAAAGTTTTTTCAGAGATAGAGAAACATGGAAATAGGATAAGTGCGTTTTTCCTTTTAAATTTTTGCGCCATGCATAGTTATTAGTATTATTTTTATATATTTTTCCCATGGGGGTCTTTAAATACGTACGTAGTGAACAAGAGACAATCTTTAATGGGTCACATGACATGGTGTCCACTTGCAACCCTACCTTTGCCCTTGCTTTTCACACATGTTTATAAATGCTTAATTTCTAATACCGATTTAAATTCGAGCCGTATTTTAACTGATTTTCGTATTGGATTCTGATTCAAATTATCACATCCTTGATACATATACATGGTAAATATTTTTCTTATTCAAATGCTATTCCATTAATGCTTTTGAGGGCAACTCAAGCAGCTACCTATACTTAAGCATCTAAAATTTGATTAAGGGCATTGACCTTTGAGTTTATTAATTCTATGAATTCAAGTAAAGGATTTTTTCCTTGTCACTAAGGTATAAAAAGGAAGGTGGAAGCAGGCGGAGAACCTTCGTAAACAATGAGAGATGGCGCGCGCATATATATATATATATATATATATATATATATATATATATATATATATATATATATATATATATATATAATATATATATATATATATATATATATATATATATATATATATGGATATGATCATTTTGCATAATGTAAAATTATTTTAACATTACGTAGATTTAGAATTGTTACACATTATAAAACTCTTTTAATTTTATACAGATTCGGACCTTTAGATGAGCAAAATCAGATACTGAGATTAATTGTAGGAAATTATATATATATATATATATATATATATATATATATATATATATATATATATATATATATATATATATATATATATATATATATATATATATATATATATATATATATATATAAATGAAAAGCTAGTTTTACGCCAAGCTTAAACCCTAAGCTTAACACAGTTTGGCATCTAAAGTAAATGCTCTTCTTGTAAAGCAAAAAGAAAGAAAAATCCGCTCCCTCCCTGTGTTTAAACGACAACTTGAATTTGTCAGAAAAAAGGGCTTATTGGGAATACGAAGAACTGTTGATTTTCATCAGCAGTATACCTATTATACCTAAATGATTCCAGTAACAAGGGGGGGGGGTTGTAAAATTTTCTTCAATTGCATCTGCAGATTCCAAGGCTAATTGATTATGATGGTAACTTGTCGAAGAAGAAAACATGCCTATTTTCTTGTTACTGTAAAAAGGACTCAAATTCTGTAGACATGGCCAAGAGACTATCATGATAATCTTCAACTTCTTACTCCCATCTAGCTTTGTTTCACAACATCTCTGACTGTTATTGAAGCTTTAGCTTATGATTGCATGCATGCTGATAGACCGATGGATGCTGGACTACGGTCGTTCGTATCCCTGTAGATTTTAAATCTTCATATAATTTAGATTTTTTTTTTGTATTTCTTGTTTGCACCTTTAAATTTTTAATATAACTTAATAAGTTCTCACTTCGATATTTAAAATCTTGCGTACATGTATGGACTGAAGTAGCATACATCACTCTAAAGTACAAAGTCAAATGGCTCCAAAAACATTCATGATGACATCTGAAGACAGTGAATCTAACATGGAAATTACAAAACATCCTGTGGGTGATATCAGCTATCAATCTTTTGGACAAAATATAAACGTGCAGGAAAATTGCATTAAACACTTCCATGTTAGATTTGCAGGAAAAAAAGGAACCAGTTCTGTTTATTGTCATCATAGATAAAATCAGAAACAGATGATAGGCAACCTTTTTCACCTCCATTTTGGTTTTCAGTAAAAGCCTCCCCTTATCTTCTATACCCATCAAGGCAGTAGCCTATATGAATTATTCCAAAAGCAAAGGGAATCGATCATTGATGAGGTGTACACATGCATCCCATACTGTTATTTGTATATTACAAAAATACATAGCCTTAAAAGTCAAACCAATCTTTTGGAATAGCATTCTGTTCCCACATTTCAAGCATGCTCTACCTAAAGAAAATGTTCTCATTCGGCCTCTGTGTGTATGTATGTATATATATATATATTTCTAGTTGAGCTTTATAATCAATGAGATTTCCGTGTCAAAACGAGAAACTTTATTTTTCTGGGTACCCTACACTAGGTATCACTGAACTTTACCCATTAACTCGTTTATATCATTGAATTTTTAATTTTATCATTTATAACATTGAATATCAATTTTGAGTTGAGATTACTTTGTTTTGAGTTATGCACCTCATTGAGATGTTGTCAATTACAATTTTTTTGCTTCATGCGAATTAAAATGTACCATTTGTAGCGAATATAGTAAAATTTATTTAATGTAACATACATTGACGGAGTTAAGTAGGAGTTTGGGAGGCGACTGCCTCCAAAATTTTTTATCATTAAATAATATAGGTATAATTATCTGTTTAAATCTTTAAATTTTGATTTATTTTTATTTCGATTTTGTCTCTCTGGTTTTTATTGTTAATTACACTTTGCCCCTTTTGAACTAAAATCATGACTCCATCCCCTAGTAACACACTTCTATTTACAATGTAGCAGTGACAACCGTCATGCTTAGCCTTAGCCATATGAATATGAATCTTTAACTATATTATTCAGAATTAAGTACAAATGTAAGGTATTATTATGTTTAGATGATCTTTATAGATCATCGAAGATTTAAATAGCGGTCGGATAGCGGTCGTGGCGGCAGCTGATACCGTAATTCAAAAAATAGCAGTGTGAAAGAGAAATCACACCAATAACGATAGATTGCAGCCGTATTTTAACGGATAGCGGCCAATCGCGACAATAGCGTACCGCTATTTTATTATTTTTCCGCTATTTCATTTTTTAAAAAATCAACTCATTTAAAAAAATTCACGACCACGATATCCTCAATGACCGTAATAGTATCTATTAAATTCGCAACCGTGATAAACGCAACGCGATCGCAACCTAATTTAAATCCCTGTAGATCATATCTTACATTGGACATGGTACTTCAAAACGGAAAAGGGAAAAAAAGAACAGAGTAGTTACTTTAGAAAAAGTCTTTTGCTAAATCTACAACCTATGTAAAAGTTATTTTCTGCAATTTTTGTGTTGAAAAATATTTTTTTTATATAATTTGTGTTTGAAAAGTATTTTTAGAGTTAAAATTATATTTTTATTTTATTTTTTATAATTATTTTATATAATTCAATTTGCAATATTCAGCCCAAATTTGAAATTTCAGAAGGCAGTGGGCTTGCTGAGTACGCAAATTGAATTGGTTTTTAGGTAGAATAAAATGATTTCAATGATTAATAAATTGCAGTTATTTTTTATATATCGAATTTTAATATATGAGAGAAAGAGAAAACTCAAATAATGTTTGATATATTAATTGATATATGAATTTCGTACACAACCACTGAATTATATTTTATTTTTAATTAAATTATATATATACACACAATATAAAATTTTCATGTACTTAAAGTTCAAGTTCGAGTCAAACTTGATAATTTTAAACTCGTGAGCTTTTGAGTCAGACATCAAATAGCTCGTGAGCTTTCGAATCTATTAGAGCTTTAATTTTTCTTATTTTGAGCTAGAGTCAAACTTGACAATTTTAAACTCCTAACTTACGAGTTGAGTCAAACTCAGCTTTAAACTTTTTGAATATAGTCAGAATGAACAATACTTGAGTTCGAGTCAATCGTTTACAGCTTTAGAAATGCCAATGGTAGAGGGATTGCCATTTTGGAACTGCAATGTGTTTGTTGAAGCATGTTGCCCATGTTGGTTAGTCTACAAAATTCACGTGCGTTGTTCCAAATCCTCAGCAAGATTTGACTTCAATAATAGTTCACGTGACACCAACAAAATAGAAAGACATGGTTCGGCAAAACATCAGAGTCTCCAGCTCTGTATGCAAATCATGTCACGAACAACTTTACGACCATTTAACCAAATCTTGCTAGTCAGACGACATTCTCAACATTTCTGGTTTGGTTCCAAGCATTTTTCATTGATGATATTTTTCCATTAAATTCCAAAAGTTCAATCCCCTTTCCACCATTCATTGCAATGAAAGATGAAATAGTACTTACAGTTCTAACCCCCCCCCCCAATTCTACAATTTTCTTTTGCTGACAAGGAAGAAAAAATGGAAGGAAAGAACCAGGAACCTCTCCGATGTATCCCATGCTCGAACCGTGCAAGATATGTACCGGAGCAAATCAAGCCAACTGTTTAACTAGGCTGAAAGCGGATCTTTTAGCAGTTTTCCCCCAAAGACTACTATGTCGCCGTCGATTGCAATGGTTTCCTTGGGTGGTTGTGCTCACCTTCATAGGTAACGATAAGCATGGATGGCTCTTCCAAGCACCTCTCCACATGCTTCCTTGCAGAGCAACCTCTCATACTGCTACATTTATAGTATCCCCTGCACACCAGTTGAAAAGGAAAAGCCTTTTAAGTCGATAAATTTAGACGAATTTCTCTAAACATGAATCGAAGTAACAAGCTTGCTAAAAAACACTTCAAACATGCAACTGCAACTAACGCCATGGCTGATAACCCACTTAAACATTAAAGATATAAATGCATCATCATTCCGCTTGGCCATGCTCAGACCTCCCTCGATCGTCTAAGATTTCACTTCGCAAGGGGTTGAACTTCAACAGTTGAAAGTTACCTTTTAACATCTTCGAGACTAAGGTAATCATAAATCACTCAATGCAGTAAAACCATTATCTTAACGAAACTGAAACATTAATGATATTGCTACACAATAAAATCATTATTTTGTAACAAGCCCTTTCGTTTATATGATAAGTTCACCTTGTTCCATTCCTAGTCTAATTTCAATCCCAAAAGTTCTTATATGCACCTATATTTGAAGCAAAACAGAACAGGGAAACACCAGAATTCACATAATAGCATATCGAATCTTGGTCTGATGACGATCATTACCTAGGGTGAGGAGAACCCTTGATTGGCTTCTGTCCGTACTTCCTCCATGAATAATCATCGGGAGGAATATCAGCAAGCTTGTTACTGATTGCAGGCACCTTGATTGATTTCTTTACTCTCTGTTTCCTGCCAACAGAGAGTAACTAATTAAGCTCCATTAAAGGATCAAAGCAATTATGATAACTAATATCAAGAGCATGAGCATGATTCCATACAGATGCCAAAAATAATATCGAACCTCTTTTTCGAGCAGTGGCATTTAGCGCTGCTCCCACATTTGACACTCCCCTCCCCTCCCCTAGCGGAACACTTCTTCTTGTGTTGGGAACCTTGGTCCGAGGAACGAGAACCCCCGCTGAAATGGAAGGCACCCCCACCATTCAAGTTGACTACACTACCATCTATGCTCAAGGAAGAAATAAAAGACCTAGTAGACGACATGGTGGGCGTACAGCTAGAGCTATCGAAATTCAAGCTAATGCCACTATTACTCCCCCTAAACATCATCTCAGCTTGATGTTTCATTTGTTGCTGTTGGAGCTGCCACCTCTGTCGAAGCTGTTGCTGTTGTTGGAGGAAATGGTAATGCCCCGACGAAGCTGGTTCGGTGAGTTGCTGAAGGTTTTTCCCATTTGAGCTCAATTCCAAAGATGGGGTTCCAAAATAAAGAGAATTCTTGGCATGTGAACTCAATTCTTGAGCTGAGCTTTCATGGTGACCACCAAGCTGCAAAGTCCTGTGGTGAGGGTTGTCCAAAACGATGCTCTGGGGAAGAGGGGCTTGTAATTTCCGCAGTTTCCTCACCCTTGCATGTCCTAAACCAGAGTTCAAAAGAGAAACCACCTTTTTGAACCTAAAAACAGCCTCCCCAGTTTCAGCCATTAAATTCCTGTATTGAATCTGATCTTGTGGCTGAGACAAAATACTCAAAACCCTATGGCAGCTCTCCACTGCTGCCTTGTTAGCTTCCTCAACCTCCTCCATGTTCAACCCCAAAACCAAAAAAAACCCTAATTATCCAAACCAAAGATCAACTAAACAAAAACATATCATCAAAACAACAAGGTTCAACAGGAAAACTAGATCTTTAAAGGAAAAAAAGAAAGACCCGTCCGTCAAAATTCAAACTTTCTTGCAGCAGAATTGAAACCAAATGAAACAAAGGGAAAACAAGACCTTGTTAGAATTGGTGTTTTCAAACCCTAGATTCTGCTTCCCATATTCTTTTTAGATTGAAACTAGAAATGTGTGAGAGAGAAGATTTTGTTTTTAGCCCACAGTAAGGTAAGAAGAATTCACAAACGGCCGTAACCAAAAAAAAAACAAAGCTCCCATCTTTTCTTTTTGCCCCTTCCACTAAACAATATAAAAAGAAATTCAACAGAGAGAGAAAAACGATGATAAGATGTTTAAATAAATTAATAAAGGGAACGGGTGTCTGAGCCGTGCTCAGCCGAATAAATGAAAATTCTGCCGTCTCTGTCACAGATTTGAGGTGGTCCCATACAAAGCCTTTGGTTTTTTTCTTTTTCTTCTGCCATTGATACCTTTGATAGTTCCCATTTTCTTCATTAGGTTTTATTTAATTATTCCTAGTGATTGGGTTGATAACTTTTTACAACAACAATTTATTCGATTTTCCTCGTAAAATTTCTTCTCGTGTTTTAACTTCGGTAGATTTTGATTTTGCATCACTCGTAATAAGATATCAAATTAACCAACCAATGCGGTTGGTTCAAGAGCTTGATATCGTTTAATTAATGTTTTAAATTCGAGTTTTCATGTATGTAAAATATCTTCGTTGAAAGATTTACTTATCAAAATCAAATGTACGACTTAGATCGATTTTAGATTAATCAAGATAAAACCTTAAAGAACAACAAAATATAAAAAGAAATGGAACGAAAGTAACAATGAGCCAAAATTCGGAGAGCTATGTAACTTAAAATAACATAAATTTAAAATAAAATGACATATAATTAAATTATATAAATTAATGTCTTTAATATGATACTTGTATACAATTTAATATATTTTTTAGTAAACTACTTATTTAGTCGTTTAATTATTCTTGCAGTTCTGTTTGGATACTCAACTATTATTTTTTTAAATCATACTTAATGTTATGGTTTGATTTCGTTTTGTTCACTCGACGTTAGAAATTTAACGGTGATAATGATATATCATCATAAGATAATGTTATATCATCTTGAAAAAATTAGAAAATTATTATGTCGGTAATTCTATTAGTATTTTAATGATATGTGACCAAATTGTTACATTGGTTATGATTTTGAAGAAAAAAATCATTAAATGATCAAAACCAAAGCAAAAAAAATAAGTAGATAACTTATTACTAAATTTTCCCAATATTTTTCTCGACAAATTACCGTATTTTAAGATCTTTAAGGTCAAAAATGTCAGAATAATGTAGTAGGTGAAATTTTTTTTCCCACAATAACTTGGTTCCAACATTATTTCCATCACGCCTAAAGACCCATGATATCTAAGACATTTTCAGGCTAAAATTTTGTTATATGCGATTACTAGACGTATTTAGTTAAATTCTTTTTCTACTATGCATTTTTTGGCATTTTCCCTAAAAATCACTTTCTTTTTTTTTAAATATTTATGTACCAGACACCCTTTGAGATAATATTCTCTATCTAACACCCTTTACAGAAAGGTACAGTCCATGCAATGTGCATTACGCTGATGTGGCACCACGTGGGGTAAGGCGCAGCCCACGTTAGGGCAGAATAAATACCGAAGGCGTGGCTATGCACTTTCCATCCCACCGTCCCAACTGATCGTTTACACCATCTATCTCACCCTATAAATACCCTTCTCAACTATTTTCACCACACAAAATCCTCTCAAATCCTTTCAGAAACCAAATATCGTTTAAATTTTATTTATAAGATATATTTTATTATATTTAATATTTTATTTATTTATTGTATTATTTAATTTTTTAGTATTTAATTTAATTATTTTATTTTTTTCAGTTATAAAATGGAAGGTGGTCTGCTTCGTTTAGATGGAAATATGTATAAATTAACATAAACAAACGACGACATTCTTCTAGTTGAGGGGATTGATATAAATGTTTACGGGTTGAGAGCGTATTTATAACAAAAAAAAAAGTTTAAAAGTCAAAAAATACAGATATAATTATATAATGTACGATCCATGCATCGCACCTATTTAATGCGTGTATCAGACGACATTAAGACGACGAGTAATCTTATGAAGCAAGATTTTAGCCTGAATACGTCAAGATATCTGGGGTCTTAAGACATGTACTGTTGAACCATGTTATTGTGGGGGGAAATTTTTTTATACTGCATTATTCTGACATTTTTATCTATCTTTACGATAGAATTCCACTTTCCTTAAAAATAATAAATTGTTTTTAGTTCAAATCACAATGTCCGCCTCAAAAGTGGGCCTAGACTAGACTGGTATTTGTGGGCAGGGACCTTATATTAGCCGTTGCTGGAATCATCCAATCAATTCATTCCGCCTGTCGCATAGTTGCCCGGATATCTGACACGTACTCCAGGTAGTGGTGTCTTTGAGCGGTAACTTGCACTGGAAAGTCGCCGTGAATATCGGTGACAAACAGGTAGATGGGTCCCGACGTCGTTGACTTCACCATCCCCTCCGGCGAGTTTCTTTAATTTCACTGGGAGTTACCGTACGCTTCGAAACTTAACATTTTATTTTAGGATAAAGGAAATATTTAATATTTAAATATTAATTTTGATTTATTTTATTATATAAATTTTTAGTTTTTTTAAATCATATCTAGTATTTTTTAATACATTATCGTTAAAAATTTTATCGCATTTAATACCTAGACTATTAGTTTTTATCCGATTTAATACCTAAATTTAAAAAAAATAAAAAATTAACGTTAAATTTTTAACAGGATACTAAAATGAAAAAAAAAACTAAACTTAGGTATAATTTTGAAAAAATTAAAAGTTTGAGTACTAAAACAGACAAAAATTGATAGTTTAGATAATAAATATGTAATTTACCCTTTATTTTAATATTAAAATGATTTATTAATATAGGAACGAAAATAATTTCGAGTATGACGCTTTATTCCCGGAAAATTTATGGAAAGAGTGTTAACAACCGATCTAGAGCTTTAATACACAGCTTAGTATTTATTTTGTTCCCTGTAATTTTATTTTATACTGCATAATACATAATTAAACCTTAAAAGATTGTATTACAATTATTTATTTTTTATGATACTACGCATGTACGAGTAAAGTTGAATTAAATGTTATGAAAATAATTTTATTTGTTCTTTTGCATAAAATATTAAATAGAAAATGGATTCTCATGATCTATACATTAACTAAAATGCATGAATGTGAACATCACATGTATGTGTGCAAAAACAATAGCAATAAATTAAATTATATATGCATGATTATGATAGTTATTTATATTTTAGGTATATTAATTAGTATTTTTCAAATCAGGAACGAATGTAAAATTTTATGTTATGGAGACGAATTTAAATTTATAAAATTTTAGGGAGGGACGAAAACATATTTTCAATGAAAATTCTAAACTTTTAAGGGAAAGGACCACTACTCCCACCCGTCCTCTCTCGATCCATCTTTGTGTCTAATGTTTTTATCCTAAATTATTTGGCCATAAAAAGAAGCACGCAGGGAAGAACAAATGCAAATGGGAACTATGTTCATGAACCAAATCTACAACTTAAATAAGGAATTGTCGATTATCCAATGTACTCAACAAACTGAATTCAGGGCCGGCCCTCGACCGGGGCAGGAGGAGCGCCCGCCCAGATCCCATAATATTTTCTATAGTACCTAATATTTTTTTTAAGTAAAATTTTATTATCCAAAGAATGTCAAAATACAAAGCATCCCAAACAAGGATCAAGTTAAACTATTTACAACAAAAGAATGATTATCCTATACCCCAATTAGTACTAAGTTGCATATTAACAAAATCATGACAGTTATTAACTCTATTCCTAAGTTGAGTACTAACAATCTCTTTAATGGAATAAAGCAAATCATCAATGGTTCTAATTCGTCATTGGAATAAACGTCTATTTCTTTCTTCCCAAACGTAGTAAATGAAGGAACACCATGCAATCTTCAATATGATTGTAAGGAGAGATTTTCCTTTTCAAGTCGAAGACGCCCATGCAAGAAAAGAATCCCAAGACATATGAGGCTTGTCAAGAGAGAAAGATTTAGAATTCTATTCCAAAGAGCCGCAACTATAGTACAATCAGCAAACAAGTGATTTCTCGTTTCATGGGCATCATTGCATAAAATGCAAGAGCCAACGGTTGTAACAATGCTCCATTAAACAATTGATTCAGTCAAACAACACTTACTTAACGTTAAATAAAGAAATAAATAAGGGCTTATTTCTATTATTTCGTCCCGAATCAAAAAATAAAAAGAATAAATAGGGGTCTATTTCTTTTATTTCTCTCATGCCAAAAAAATTCTCAAGCCGGCCCTGACTGAATTGTCAATATAATGAGCCAAATAAGATGTAGCTGCCACGTGTTGCTCTCTAAGGAAGAAAGGGGAATATTATTATATAATATATGTTTGAACAATAAAATGATTTAAGGGTTGTTTGTTTATTTTAAAATGATTAATTCAAATTTTGAATGATTCTGAGGTTGAATGATTCAGAGACTCTGAATGGTTTGGCTCTGAATGTGACATGATGTCTGATAATTGGCTCTGAATGATTCAGAATGTACTTATGTGCTAAATCATTCAACACTATTTTGCTGAATCATTCAGCACTGTTTTACTGAATCAGTCAACACTGAATCATTCAAAGATACGAAACAAACGCGCTGAATACAAAACAATTAAACATTCAATATTAAATAATTTCATTAAGAGACAAACAAATAACACAAAGACCGATGTGTTGCTCTCGAAGGAAGAAAGGGAAATATTATTATTTAATATATGTTTGAACATTAAAGTGATTTAGACGTGAGAAAAGCAAGAGTGTAGTAAAAGCAACAATAAAGATGGTAAAGCAATGGGGTGATTCATTCATGCTGACCTGAAGTTTTCTGGTCAGTCCTTTCATTATCCTCCTCTCCTTTTTTCGTCCTTGATTTCTTTTTTCTCTTTCTCCGGCCCTGTTTCTTGGCATTCTAAAGCTCATTATATTTGTTGATGAGCTTCCATTCTCTGCGCTCTCACGAAATAATTCGTCTGAAAATAAATGAATCTTTTTTCTTTTTTATTTTTGGCTGAAGACAACTTTTTTTTAGTGTTTTAAGGTTTCTTGTTTCTGTAGACTTTCAAGGAGAATGAAGGGAGTCAAATGAAGAATGGGCACGAGTTGAGTTTCGGCTAATTTGATTATATCTGAAAAAATTACATCATCCACCTAATT